AGTGTATTTGTGGTTCTTCCCGCTCCACATTTTCGTCTGACTCCGTAACCCTTAATTGTAACGCTTTGTCTAGAGTAGCCTCAGCCAGATGTCTGGGTGGTGCTATCGGTAATAATCTTCGGTGGTTGACGCACGTTCAGAACTGTATGAGAAAACTTCGACTGGGTGTTGCAAACAGTAGCGCTCATTCATCTACTCATTACTCTTGTAACTTCAGTCCATGTAAATGCGCTATCTTCCACTTGAATCTTCTGTTAGCATTCTAATCATCATTCTGCTGCTTCATCCAAATAGGCAACCAAAAGGCAGCAGCCAATACTGGCGCACGAAAGTGCATGGTTAATGGTTGTGAGAACTGCACTGAACTGATTTCCCCAACGATTTTTGTTCTCCTTTGTCAATGGTTTTTCCCTATTTTACTTTATTGCTCTCCTGAAGTGTTTCCCTGTTTATTGAAACAAGACTTTAAAACTATCCGTCGTGGATTGATGATAATACCGAGTCTACCGAGTCATTAACCACAGAACTCATTAAATGTCATATGAAGTCTTGTGTGACCTTTGCCAATAAGATTCTAAACCCTAATCGTTCTCCTGCTTAGTGGCTGGACACCCTGGCAGCACCCGTCCATCAAACTCCAATGCATACACAAACAAAAAATAATTCCATACTGCATCGGTCGTCGCGCAAGATAATCATGACCGCGCTGCCCATTGCATTGAGCGGGGTGGGTAGTGATAAGTGGGGTGCTGCTCAGATATCCTAACCTTCGTTTAACTCTTTGTCTTCCGTTCCCAACCCTCTCTCTTTACCCCTTCTTCCAGCCCGTAAAATTCCCTCAGACAACTTGTTCGTCACTCGTCAAACTTCGTCACCAAGTAGCCCAATAAGTAGTTTACTACAAAATAAAGTGCAGATTCTGAAGCCTTGTCAGCCACTGAACCTGGGGGCCTTCAACGTGAGGACTTTGATGCAAGTAGGTCAACAAGCGTGTCTGGCGCGCACAATGGACTCTGGGGATTGATGTGTTTTGCGTATCGGAGACACGAATTCAGGATCCTAGTACTATATGCCACTCAAGTGCACCGGGGTTGTCTTGGAGGTTCTTCCTCCGCGCGTGAGGTGATGAGGAAGCCCGTTCAGTAGGCCAGCATTGTATTCACTAATAAAGCCTAATCTGCACTACTCAAAGGGATCCCCGTCAATGGTCGTTTATGTGCAGCTCCAATGGTCCATCAGCGTCCAAAAGGTGTCTGTTCATCATTTCAGCGCATGCTCCGAAGAACTGCAGTTCTGACGCACTTTTATGATAAACTCACCGAACTCATTCGGTTGAATCGAGGCTCCGATATAGTTGTTCTCGCAGGTGATTTTAACGCTCAAGTCGGAGAGCTGAGCATAGGAAGCTTGCCTAGGTGGTCATTGTGCTCTGCCATGCCAGCGAACAGATAATGGCGATCGACTTCTTCAATTCTGCGCAGATCATCATCTGTTCTTATCCAGCACCAACTTCCGTCACAGCTCTCAACGGACAACAACGTGGCGCTCCAATTTAACTGGCATGCTAACTCAAATCGACCACATAGCAGTAAGCTATCGTTAGCGTGGCTCGGTACAAAACTGCAGGTCCTATTGTACCACCTGCGTTGAATCTGATCATGCATTAGTGTTGATGCAGTTCACTCTCCAACTCACTGGTCACAAAAAACCCACCAAATACGGTTGGCAGATCATCGTTTATCTGACCCAGCCGTTCGTGCCCGTTTTGAATCAGAACTAGGGCAAGAGCTCGACGCTTAGCGGGATGGTAGTATAAATGAACAATGGGATTAGATTAGCCGAGGAATGCACTCTGCAGCGAACGTTGCCTGTGGACCTGAAGTGGTAATCCGTCCCAGGCATTGGATGATTCAGTAGAAACGATGGAGAAAAATCGGCAAATCCCGACTTCCCGGGATCAAAGCAAGGGTAGGTGATATCTGTAACGTCAGCACACAAAGGCCCTTAAGAAAGATCACGAAAAATGGTACGTAACACTAGCTAGTGAAATGGAAATAGCAGCTGCATCAGGAAACAGTCAAAGACTGTTCTAACTGATAAGTAACACGCAAGGTCGGCGAATCACAGTAAGTGAAACAACCTGCGATAAAGGGGACAAGCTATTCACAATAGGGAACAACGGCTTGACCAGTGGGCGGAGTACTTCAACAAACAGTCAGCTGGCCAGGTGCTAACCAGACTATATCGTCTGTTGTAGTTGCAGCTCCATGAGAAGTGTCATCTGAACCTCCTACTGTAGCAGACGTTCAATAGTGCATCCAAGCCCTGAAGAAAGGGAAAGCAGCAGAACCGGACGGGCTTCCCCTCACTCTTCAAGTCGGGGGCGATGACCTCGTTGACTCCGTTAGTGTTCTAGTGCGTAACATTTGGTCACACGCGCACATCCCATCATCCTGGAGCGAATCATTGATTGTTCCAATTTTTAAGAAGGGATCTCGCAATGACTGCGCAAATCACCGTGGAATAAGTTTGATCCCAATCGTCACCAAGTTACTAGCCTCCAGCATACTTCGACGTCTGACACCGATTAGGGAGACAAATATCCGTGAACAACAAGCAGGATTTCGACCAGGTCGCGGCTGTGTCGACCAGATTTTCACGCTGCGTCAAGTACTCGAGCTACGCCATACGCACCGTCGACCAACGGTTGCCGTGTTCCTTGACCTAAAGAGACTTCGACTCAGTTGACCGTGAATCCATTCTGGGTTCACTCCTGGGCAAAAGAATGCTGCAGAAGTATGTGAATGTATTGATTTCACTCTACTCACATACTTCTGGTAACGTAGGGGTCTACGTCGAGCTGAGTAGATCATTCGTAACAAGCAGCGGTGTTCGTCAAGGGTTCCCTATTTCGCCATTCCTGTTTAATTTCGTCATAGACGAAATGCTGGAGAATACACTAAGTTGTTTCCAAAATGTAAGTATTGGATGGGCAGCTGGAGAAATGCTGTGCGATTTAGAGTACGCTGACGACATCGTTTGCTTGTTCGAATGTA